GCTAAACGAGAACAAATTTATTTATTTAGTTTTTTTTTGCATTCTAGTAGAATTTTCTGTTAACATCCGAGAATCATGTTTGATCGAAAGAGATGAAGAATTCTTTTTCGTGAAAAAAGAATTTTTCACATCATAGCTGTTATGTTTCATCTTTTTTTGAACAATCACATATATAAAAATCAACAATTAAGATATACCTGTATGGACTACATTGCTGCTCTGGAATGTTTCCGACAATATCTCGAATAAAACAATCAAGAAAATTTCATCGTATAGATTATTTTCGTGCAATGCGTCGCACGAGACCGAAAAGCACACATTGTTCGTTGTGTGTCGTTTGTTTCAATTGAATCATCTATAAAATAAAAAAAAACTTCTTATTGAATATTTAGACGCAATATCGATCAAATTATATATGAGATGTACGATTAAAAGACATCGTTTTGTGAAACACGAATGATAATGAGTGTTGAAGTATATGGTGAGAAAGTCAAAAACCTTTCCGCTCATTCAAAGACATGGAAGATACTTTCAGGGAATTGTCTGTGACAGAGTCAATAGAATATTCGATATCCCTTATTGACTTTCTTAGGCTTTATACTTCAGTAAAATGGGACGATCATGTTTCACATTTTAATCCTGTAGGAATGGCTCCAACAGTATTTTCTACTTGTTTTAATCTAGCGTAACAAATATATGACCCCCATAAAGATGATTTTTTTAAACAGATCAATTATGTCAATCGGTTCACATATTGACAAAAATTGTATCTATAAATGTATGTTGAAACCATTTTTGGGATATGAGAAAAACATGAGTATTTATTACGTATAGTATCAATTTTGAACGACACTGTAAATACTTACACAAATAACAATTTTTAGAAGATTGAGTTGAAGAAATGTTGAAACAATCATGTTTTGATCAAATATCCAATTGAATATGATTACTAATGAATCAACAGGTACTACACCACTTTGTCTCAACATATTCTGTAAGTCTTTGACTAATGAATAAAATTTATTATCATGCCATCTTCGTTGATCGTAACTATCGTTTTGTACTCGACGTATCAATTGATATGCATGTATACGTAATTGAAGACAACGATGAAATAACTGATTATCATGATAGTAATCGCATTGTTTCTCAAATAAATCAAAATAAATAGCAATATCTCCATGTTGACGAAAAATTCGTTCATTAACGAGTAACGCATGCATACACATAGCATTGTTATCATTTTGTATGGAGATTAATTCATCGAATGTTTGACATTCATGATGAAATTCGTAAACTTCATAGAGAATTGGATTATCTGATGTTTGTTTCCCATTTAAACCTTGTGCAAAAAAATAAAATGCATTATCACCATCTAGCATATGACGATCGATTGTATATCGACAAGCTAATCGTAATAGATCATCGACAGCTCGATCAAGTGGTAACAGTTCAAAAAGTAAATCAACAATGGGTCTTAAATTATAATGTGCGGCTAACATCATCGGTGTGAAATTATCATTAGTTGTTGTGATATGGCCATGTGTATGTAAGAGGAGAACTTTAGCAATTTCAATGTCTCTTTTCAAAATGGCATAATCAAAGGCAGTTTGATTACTATAATCCTGCGTATTCGGGTCAGCGCCATGTTTCAAGAGATTTTTAACAATTTCGAGATAACCACAACGAGAAGCTTCACACAATATATATTTGTTATACCTGCTCTGGGGATTACATCCTTTATTCAATAGATAATCGACCAATATCTCATCATTTTGTTGAATAGCGGCTAATAAAATTCCATCTTCATGAATATTTGCAGAACCATGTTCAACAAGTTCTCGAACAAGATTCAAATCACCTCTTTTACATGCGCACAATAGTGGCGTTACACCATAAGAAAAATGGCCATGGATTATAGCCGGGTCGAGATCACCGGAATATACCTAGTCTAATAGTATTCGAATGCAACTTGTATGTCCAAGAGTAATAGCATGGGAAAGAGTGTCATCAGATTGCCAACAATATCGCAAATATAATTCATTGGACCAATATTTTTCTTTACCATTGAAGATATTGATCGGTGGTACAAGAGAGTCGAGAAGATCAGCATTATCAAGATTGATAGCATCATAGATCTCTTTCCATTGTGCATTAATATACATGTGGATCTCTTCGTCTTCCCATTCCTCTTCTAGATATTCTTGATAATCATCACTTGCATCTTCTTTCGAACTATCATTATTGAAATCAATCAACTGATCTCTTATCCACGATCTAGATGATCGATTTTTATCTCTTAAATCTAAATAAATAGAGAAACTAATTGAGTAAATGATCTCTTAACTCATATATTTTCAAAATACAGGGTGATCCAAAAATCATCGGGCAGTCTTCGACATTGTATTATTCAACAATTATGACTGATTATCAAATAGTTCGTCAGTGATCTTCAGGAAAAATTAGTTCCATGAAGATGATATAGAAGTTGAATTCTAAAAAGAACCTCAAATATGTGCATCGACGATCGACGCCGATGTAGACGTTTGCAACTTTAATCTTATTCCATTCAAGGATTATAGACGCAATACTAGGTAAAAAGAATATAAATGTCGGTCTTGAATGCGCACATTTAGAATTTTTTTTTAAGATTAAACTTTCATGTCATCTTCATGAAACTAACACTTTTTCTGAAGATCATTGACGAACTATTTGATCATCAGCCATAAGTATTGAATAATACAATGAACTATGTAGTGAAGCAGTCTCTTTTGAATAGCGTAAGTTGCAGTCTTCTATCTTGTTTTGATCAAGAGTTATCAGGAATTGAAGATTGCCCGGTGCCTTTTAGGCTACCCTGTATATTGAAAATAGAATATGATAATGGAATGATTCGATATTTCAAACTAATTCTTAGTATTAATTCGTTCGGATGAGACAGATAAATGGATATTTCCAATGAAATTGTATTTTTCTTTTTTATCACTCTTTTCACATAGATCTCTATGGGTTTCTTTTTACTCGTATCGGTATCGTTAATTATACCTGAGTGTAAATAGGATAGACGAAAACGTCGATTTACTCTCTCTCGAATGACATGTTTGTTTCGTTGATGAATTTGATAAGACTTGCGCAGATCTGACGCCATTGCCATTATTGTGTTGCTTGTGTTGAATCACTTGTGTTTTGCGCTGTCTTCTTAGAGAAAGATAAAGTATTGTCAAAGCGGCAGCCTTTTATATTCTTGTTATTTCGCATTGCGTGAGACGAAAGGATATATCCATCTATACGTCACATGGTTATGAAATTTGTTCGTTCTGTCGATGATGTATTATGTTGAAGTAATAATCACACAATAGGGAAGAAATGTTACGTAACAAATACAAAGGGCATGTTCCCATAAGGTCAGTGTTATACTCACAAAGTTTCTGATTGTAAACATGGGAGAAGATTGTTAGTAGTATTTCTCGTCACTTAGTTTTGCCCTGTTTCGATATGATCTCTTTCGCTCTTGTAGTATCTCCAAAGACTTTCGAAAAGGGTGTGGGTGTGAATGATGGAAGTACCCACACCCACACCCACCCCACACACCCACATCCACACGCACACACCCACACCCACACCCACGCCCACCCCACACCCACCCACACCCACCCACACCCACCCCACACCCACCCACACCCACCCCACACCCACCCACACCCACACCCTGCTTTTGTACAAGGCTTTCCCGATCATGGTCACATAAAATCCCAATTATTATATACCATTCGACAGAGAATTTCACGAGCTACAAAATGGTATATAACGCATCAAGAAACAAGGAAGCTAACTCACCTATTGCAAAGATAAATAGACGGGAAATCGGTTCTGTTCTTGTCCACGCTCTAATTGGTCCACAATTAGAGCTCTATCTTCTGATCGCAAAGGCGATACTCCAGGGTTTTTCGGGATGGAGAACTCGAATTCGTACTCCACTTGCCTCGAAGCTCCATTGATTGAGCACTGACCAATAGAAATCAAGTTATAGGGAAAACGACTTTCTTAGAGTAAATCAAGGCGAAGGCCCCGAACATCGACTAATTCAAAGTGAATTAAAACTGAATTAACGAATAAATCGTCTCAAAAAGACGATTTAAATCGAAATAGACCAATCATGTTGCGTAATTCGTTTTATTTTTTTCTATATGTCACGGATCAAATAGTTCAAATGTGAGCTGTATTCACCCCCAAATCCTATTGGTTGAGCAGTAGCCAATTGAATTCAAATGTCAATAGAAAAGGTTTGCCCGGCTAATTTTTATATCCAGATATTCTAGAATGACTGATTTGTCTCATTCACTTTTTGAAGTACACATAACTCTCGGATACAAATCCGAGGTTTCCACATTTATTTCATCTATTGTTGTTATTTCAATTGAATGAAGATCGAACATCTTTTGTCACTTTATATTTGTTAGCTCAGCTTATATTTTGAGGAAAGAATCAGAATAAACAACAATCAACTCTATATTGGGTTTACAGATAAGTTTCATATACATAAGATGGGTCGAAAGCTTTTGAGGGGCTGAGCCCCCCCCCCCCCCTAGCCCAAAATCCTGGCTACGCCACTGTTATATGGACTGATCAATACGATTTAACCTTCCGTCCGACAATTTATGTTCACTGCACACAACCCATAGATACTTTACCATTAGAGAGAGTGCATAGAATAAAAATAATATTTATTTTCAATACTAGTAGCCAATCCCATTTGCCTTTTAGTGTCTTTATAATGACGTCAATGTCTTCGCTTATTAAAGTGACACATATTAGAGAGCGACATCTGTTGTTTATTTTTTATTGATCGATATAACTTGTGGTTTTTGTTTTGTTCGTTCCGCCGTCATATGAGATCACTCATATATAAACTAATTTTTCTTCTTGATACACATTATGCTTCACTTATCATTATCATATTGATCAATTATATTTGACTTTATTCGTATAGTTTATAGATCTTCCAATCATTAACTTCTTTTTTCTAGTTAAAAATGGATGACATCAAACAAGAAATAATAGCCGATCTTTCTCAAGCAAGAAAACAATCATCTTATGATAAGATCAAATTAAAAATATTACTATACTTTTTTTAGGCATTAAAAAAACTAAATGATGGTTCAATTGAAGCTGACCTATTAGACAAAATGGAAACACATGTTGTAAGTGAGAAACCTTTATTTTATATTTAATTGTGTCTTACTTGTCTTTCAGGATAATATGCTTGAAATAATAGCTTTTCATAAGGTAAGTAGAAGATGATATCATTTATATTGAATTGATTAAATTTTAATAGAGTCAACAAATATTATCTTCGTCATCAACACCACAAATGGTTTCACACCAACAGCAACAAATAAATAATACATCCAATAATGCTGATCAAGAAACTAGTAAGATTTTCGTCAGTTAACAAAAATAATATGTTGATCATAGAACGTAGAATAATTTTCGTTTTTTTTTTGAGCGACACCTCGTTCGAAAGATCATTAAAAAGTGAAGAAAAGAAGGCTTTTACGAACATTTTCTAAGTCTACTAGGTCGACTAAGATTTTGAAAATTTTTTATTCATCTAATAGCTCATCTCTACTTCGTCTCGATATTTTTTCCAAATCTTTCCTTTCCGAGTAATTCGAGTAAATATTATGAAAAAACTAAATTTTTTGTAAAATATATTATTCGATTTAGTTTTATCCGCTGCTTTCAAATTTCCTATTTATTCTATCAGAATAGACTGTTATGATAAAAATTACCAAAGATAGATACAATTATAGGATATTTCTATGTTTTTTATATCAATATAAATCAAACTCGAATTATCTCAAGAAATAGAACGAAACGAAAAAGCTGAATAGTTACATTTGAAGTTAAGAGCCTAACAGTCCGAAATAATTTATAAGTTTTCATTGTTGATGTTATCATAAAAACCTAGTGAAATTTATAAATATGTTCATAAATATATGCTTTGATGTATTCGCAATATATTTCTATTCGAGTGGATATTTTTTTCTAGATAGTTCCATTTAAATTCAATCAAATTAAATTCTCTACTCATTTAAATACTCACAACAAATATAAACTTTCCTTATCATTTTCCGATAGTTTCTGTTAAAATCTTATATTAAACTCTTTCTTTTTTAAATGAGTTTTGGAGATGACATGCACTTTTTTCTGAATAATTTTTTTGTTGTATCTTATGCGAAATAGGAATGACTAGAAAATGCATTCTCTTTCACTTTATCATTGTCTTCGAGAGTGCCAACATTTTTCAAGTTTTGAGATTTTCGTGAACAAATCTCTACTTGACAATGTTTAGGAAAATCATTTTCTTTTTGCTCACCTTTTATTGCTCTTATTAATGAAATATCCTCGAAAAAAATTATAGAAAAATTTTTCGTTTTATAATAAAAATACCTTTTTGTTGAATTTTTAAGAATTTTTCATGGGGAGTTAAAAAATTTATCTTCTCAACAATTAGAATAGGTGAAAGGCTAAAAAGAATATAGTATAACTAATTTAAAGACAATCAAATAAGAATAGTTTCACCAAGAAAATAACTTGGTGCTTTTTGTCTGAATTTGCTTAAAGTCTTTCTCAACTCTTCTGATTGGATCGAAACAACTCTACGAAGAAAAATGCTTTAACAATTTTATGAACCTTTCTCAACGACAATTCAACTATTAGTTTGCACACTACCGCTATTGAGTAGGATTTCGAGTGGGAAATGAACCTTTTTCGGATATAGAGTTAGAAGTTTCTCTAGTTTTGTAATAGTATCTACAGCTCATATATGATTGTAAAAAAAAATAACCTTATTATAATAGTATATGAAGAAGAATTTTTAAAATATAAAAAAAGAAAATCTTTTCTTGATTATAAGATTCTTCAGATTTTAAGATCGAAGATAGTTAAGAACAGAAACACTTTCACGGTTTAGTTACTCATTATAAATATAGATAAAAGAAATAAAATCGAACTCTTCGAAATAGTTCAACTATTTCTATCGTCAATATTTAACAATTTAATTGCACAATCATCAATTATATCTTTTTTTTGTCTGTTAGAACTATTCAACATCTTACGTCAATGGTTTGGTATTCATCATCACAACAAAGATAAACTCGACTAACAAC